GGTCACCACCAATATTTGATGGTGTAATCTGATGGAGCACTAGTCCCATATTATTTATCCAACTTTTCTTTTGTTTTCTTCGCTGTTTTGCCTCTCAAAAAATAATATTTTATGAGAGAACGATATTAGTTTTTATCCATACTCAACATAATGCCTGTTCGTGCAAGCGACGTTTACCGCCTTTACCCTAAGCATAAAATAATAATTCTACCTGTCCATAGATGTCACCACTTGTCCATGTATAATTGTCACTGTGTTATTATTTGTTAGCCGTATGTAAAAACAAACGAATAAATGTACATATAGTTCGTATGCCTGCGCCATGGCAGGATGGCCCAACAGTCGATCTGTTTTTATCTATTAAATATATCACAACGTAGGGAAACAAAGTTCGGTGTGCGATCAATGCCAAACACGTCAACAACAATTAGCTGTCAAAACAAAACTAAAAACAGTATCGCACTGAAATTTGGCATGTCTGCCTACACTGATAAAATTTCAAATATTGTTTTTATGTGTCCCAAACATGAATTTTTGCAATGTGATCAACAAATAATATCTATGTGTCGGACACATACGTAATATGTGTACACATTAAAGCCATGTGTAACCACACATACTATTCATTTGACTCATAAATTTCATGTATGCTTCTGGGTGGATTCTGTTTATGTGTGGTCACATGAAAATCAAGTGGAATTTTACATGGAAATTCGTCAATGTGTGGAATTCTATTAGTGTAAATATGAACGGACTACAGGGCACCACAACCTTTTTTTGCAGTAGCAGTGCATTCTGGCGGTCAAGGAGGTTACTTTTCACCTCATCTTGTATATCTATATCTGATCGCGTAAGGATAGGACCCGATTTTTACGTTGCGTGATAAAAGGAAATATTGAAACGAGAACGATTATATCACAAACGAAGTGACAGACGGAGCGGCTCGAAAACTTTGGTGACTAACCTGCTATTGCAATTTTTCAGTGTACCACATGGCAACACCACTACTACTGGATTGAACCACATGGCAACACTACTATTAGATTGAACTAGCATTTTCACCAAATTTACTAGAATATTTTCGTTCTATCTCTTTCACTCTACTCAAAACTGAAATGCATAAAAAAAATGACAAAATGATACGCACTCTTTGCACACTGTCAAAGAATCATTGTACACAAAATCAACTTTGTTCAAATCAAAACAAAAAAACTAACCCATCTGGTGGATGATGGCACAAGCTTCCAAGAAAATTCTATTACAGTGAACCACATTATTTAAATGGATTTCTTCGCCAGTAAGTCGTCTGTCACTTTGTTTGTGATTATATGATCGTCCTGCCATGGCGGAGGTATGAGAACTATAGACGTTTTACGGGGACAAGTGTTGACATCTATGGGTAGGTACAGTAGCTATTTTATGTTATGGGTGGAGGCAGTAGTAGCAACCGGTGGAAACTAACGATTTTAAATTGGCTCACTACTTGACTATTGGTCCCAAGCAAATCGATTAACGCACCCCATTCTCGTATAAATTCCAGTACTACGTTATGTTTGTTTTGATTCGCTATGAAAGTTTGACAGATAAAATGAGGGGTTCGTGGATTTTCCTTTGTTTCGAGGGGTGCCAGAGCTGAGCCAAAAAGTTGAGCACGTTTCTTCGGGACCTACTAGTCTTAGAGTTACCTCTATGGTAGTAGTCGCCTGCACGAACAATATCTTTTTCGGTACCATGGAGTAAACAAAGTAAAAGTGAAAGGAGAGCAGCAAAATAGAGCACATGCGATATGACAATGCAGTGATGTTCATCAAGAAAATACCCGGAGATGGGCACTGTCTATTTTCTGCGCTGGTGTTACAGTTAAGAGGGAGCTAGGAACTTAAAATCATCATACAAGGATAATGGGCTTAAGTCGAAACGTCGTGGAACACATAAGAAATAACGTGGGAAGCTTTCGGAAGACTGGCAGTGATTCTGTCTGGGGAAATACGAAGCGTTACAGAGATAAAGTAAAAATGATTCTAAAAGAAGCAGTCAACGGCGGCAGAAGAGCAGTATATGGTGGGATCTATCCTAATTAAATATCAAAATTAAACTAAATACGTGCCAGGTTTGAAAAGAATATTTTCGTAATACCAATATTCATTTGATAACGGTGATGCATACATGTGGGGCTTATTGTGAGTGAAAGTAACCGCGGAATGGGCGTGACTCTCCAGACATTCTGAAAAGCATTGCTGGATCTTCAATAGACTACCATCTTCATACTCTCGGACTAAAGCTGTCTACAATGACCGTAAATGCGACATTGTAGAGAGAGTTCTTCCATAATATCACTGTCGGCCATTGGTGGTTAGCGGGAACACCATGACTCGCCTGTATTTAGGACTCTAAGAACGAGTTCTGAATACTGGTCATGTCCTCAATTTGTTTTGGGTCCGAGCTGTGTTGCATGGAATGTATAAACATATCGACAGTGAGCATGCATATTGGCGTATACGCGATGATCAATTCTCTTCAACGATTTTCTCTTTGCATTGCTACATTTAAACAAAACAATTTTCTAGAATTTGTTCAATGCAAAGTTGTAACAGGTTGTATTGGCTATCAAAAACAACAGCAAACGCACCGAGAAACGTTAATTCTAGCGAGTTATTAACAAAAGATCGATCATCGCGTCTACGCCCTTATGCATGCTCACTGTCGATATGCTTTTCTCCTAAGAAATTATTGTTCGATCCTAGAGGCTCTTAAATGCAAGTTTGTGGCATCAGACGAGTGTTGAAGGGTGGTCAATATGAATATTAAATATGTCCTCAATATGCGAGGAGCTTATAAGCTCATAACGCACATGCGGCAACAATTAAAGAAGGTTATTAAACAAGGAAAAGGAAAAGGTTTTGGTGTTAACTGAGCAGTTTCTCAGTAGGTCAAGAATTTAGGTGATGTTTATCTGTGCCAAAAGGAAATGGTTAATGTGGGAATATGGGATAATGCAAGTATGGTAATAATACAGAGTTATGTGGCTTGGAACATTGCGAAACATGACGGTGATTGATTTCGATTTCACTAAGTACAAATTGACTTGAAATACTACTCATAGTATTGGTAATGGCGTCATGTAATATTTATGGCCACAAAAATAAACAAATGCAGTAAAAACAGCGTTAATGTCATGGCAAGGAATATTACACCATATTTTCGACACGGTTGAAGTGCATCCACTTTGATGTGATATTATTTTTTTTTTTTGCTGTGTAGGCTAGTTTAGCAATTGTGTATTTTGAGGGATTCTAGAACGTTTTGAAAAGCCATTTCAGAATTTTGAGGAACTTATTTAGATTTTATGCCATTTTTTTCGTTTTGAATGTCCTTTCGGCGTTTCAAGTAAGCTTGAAGTCGGTTTTATTACCGCTCTTTCATCGTTTTGAGGTGCTTTTCTATGTAGTTTTAATACTACTCATGCATTTCGACCATTTTCTATTTGAAATTTAGCTTTACTGCCAATAATCCCATATCATTCTTATATGAAAAATGTAGGAATTGAGAAAATGGCAGTCGAAGTTACGAAGTACGATTTCCATGTAAATAATTGAAAAATCATAGCAAATTTATTAAAATATTTTCTGATTAAAATCAGTTGCATTGAAGCATGCATGTTATGTTTTATCAGCAAAAAATACGGCAACTCGAAAACCAGAATTGCAACTCAACCTCTGGACGATTCAATTTATGAATGGAACTGATATGCGATTACTTTGCTTGATGGGACAAACTGTTTTGATGTTGTTTTCACATTTTTTTTATGATCAAAGTCTGTATTATAATCAGATAATAGGAAAGCAGATGCCATTTGATAGTCGATAGCGTTGTTATTTCAAAATTGATGAAAATCCATAACACAAGTTACGTGTAACAGCTGTTGTTCATCGATTTGTGTTGTTGTCTACACAGCAAAAACATCAACATAACAGATCAAATTACTGGTTGCAGTAGTTTTATGTCCCGAACAGAGGAAAACAAATATATGTGAAATAATTATCCACAATAAAGGAACTCCACTCCAAATTATTACAAGTTGAGTTACTCCAAAATTAAACCATATACGAGTATATAAGTATCCGCTACGTAGGGTGGAAAACGGCTTCGGCCCCCGAGACCCTATTCCAAGCATGGGGTAAACAACAACAACAACTTAAAACGTTAATTTTTTGCAGCATGATGCTGCAATCATACAGCATCTTTTGGGATAGATTTATGTTTAATTTTTTTCAGTTAAAAAGCCCCGTGCTGACCCTGTTCTCCACCCTTCAATAAAACGAAAAAAGATGGAATAGTCAGGAATTGAGTCAACAAACTTAATTAACTGCACAGTGAGCAACAAGGGACCTTTTCAAACATAGCCGTCATCGTTTGTCAAACACGAGTACGAAACGATGATTCATGGAGTGAGTTCAAATTTTGCCTCTATCGTTTCCATCTTTAATATTTGCATGTAAATAGGGTAAATGTGTCAGTTACGGCACTAGTGCTCCAGTTTTTGGACCTTGGGGCTAAATCATTTTGCGTAAATAAACGGCAAAATAGATATTCTAACGTTGTATCGGTGAATAATGAAAAAATATGAAGGGCCGATTAGATGACCACTGGGGTCAAAAATCGACTCACTTACCCTAGCACAAAATAACACCATAAGCTTGAAATATTGTGGATAGGAGAATAATAAAGCTTTCCATGTTTGGGGCTTTGTGATTATTACTGCTAACAATTGTTTAATCAGATACGGTTTCCACATATTGCTAAAAGTTAAATCTATTTTGTGGCCACAGAAAGTTGATCTCATTGTTCAGTTCTGAATCACACAATATTACAAGGAAATTTAGCGGCAACAAATGCATGAATTAATATAATTTGTAATTGTTCACTGTTCCAGAAGCATACAAATCCCGCTGGGATATTTTAAAACTAACCGCAAATGATTTATAATTCGACTCACTTACATGTTCAACAAATACTCCAACGCATCCAGCGAATCATTTTCGACTGCCACGTGCAACGGTGTATTTCCGAACGAATCCTGGGCATTGAGATCCCCTCCTTGTTGGTGGATGTAGCTGAGGATGTTGATGCGATTCCTGGCCGCCGCCTGGTGCGCTGCCGTGCGCCCTTTGCTGTCTTTTACCGCCAACCGTCCGTTGTCTCCTTCGTACAGTCGTATAAATTCGTCCAGATTCCCCGCTTCCGCAGCCTGTAGGTGAATAGAAAGTTGAAAATGTGATAAAAGCAAAGTTGTCGATAAGCGGTGACGGTGATTCCCGTGCTTCAAACTTTCTAGGAGCTGGAAAATGTAGGTGTATAATAGGAAATCTAAAACACGTCATGTGTAATAAATCAATGCGGTGTTAAATAAGCGTGACAGTTGACAGCTCGTCAAAAATGATCTGTGAAAATTCTAAGGTTTATGTTCTAATCTAATATATACGATGTGAAACTTGGTGCACTCACGGACTGATATTCAGGTACTCCATTTAGAATAGCTGGAACAACAATGATTAGATGTTTAACTAAGGTTTCTTGGTACACGGAATCGTGAACAGATGCTTCTCTAGCGATGAGCGTTTTCAAACGAGGAGAATACCAGTATTTTTTATAAATCCAAGTTAAATATTGAAGCGCGATCATTTTTGCTACTAATCCTTGGCAACCGCGTTGGCATTCTGGGTACACAATGAACTTGGAACTTGGAATAGGTATTGCATGTAGCCTACGATTTAAAGGTCAATTGGCTAATAATGTTCACTGCAATTTTATGTCGAGTAAACAGCTGTACCAATACAATACACAAATTGAACCACCATGTAATAACATATATTTTTGGAATGTTAAAATTGTCGCAATTCAGTTTTATTTAGTCACAATTTTTAATAAGCAATATGTATGAAAGCATTATTAAATTACAGACAACGTATTAACTCGATATAGTAATTAATATGTTTATCAGCAAATTTATAATCGAGAATGGGCCCTGCGTAGTGGTTAGCTAGCACCAATACCTGTATCTTCCGCAGACAAGTCACGAATGACCTAAAATGTGTCACAGCGGAAAAAAAAGTTTCTCAAAGAAGATTTCAAACTAGTTTTAAGGCAATGAAATAACTGTTTCTATTTAATCTATTAAATCTATTTTATTATTCAGCACAAGGTAAACATTAGGCGAGGTGGCTCAGATAGCGTAGTCAGTAAAGGCACGGTATTTTGAAGCCGAAGGTGGTGGGTTCCATTCGCTGTTCTGTTGAGGAGACTCGACTTCCCTGGGCATAGAGTATAATTGTGCTTGCCCTCACAATACACAAATTCATGCAATGGTTGGCATAGAAAGTTCTCAGTTAATAATTGTAAAACGCTCTCAAAACAATTTTACGTTTTTTTTTTAGTCTAGAAGAAGAATCATCATTTTTATTTTTGATAGATAAATTTTTATGACGCGAGAACAATTGTAGTATCTATTTGCACTCGAGCTACGATGAGCGATGAAAATTAAATAAAGTGCATGGTCGGAAGTAAATTCAAGTAGGATAAGCAGTTTGAAGCATGTTTCATTAATCATTCACTTTATAGATTTAATTGCACACGACATACTACACTGGTGAATCTTCTGCACTTTTCCATAGGTATGTGTACAATGGTATGTATAAAATCTAAGATACGATAAGCACTATAATTAAACTCTTATCTGATACCGCATTTGAATAGTGTAAAGGGGATGAATATGCGAATGAGCAGTGTTTGGTTTGATTGCTACTAATATGGTTATCTACAGATTGGTAGCAATTTCGCTGTGTAAATACAGTAATGACCCGATTTGTTTAGTCCCCATTTTGAACATATTTTCTAATATTCTACGAAATCCATGCGCTTTCTCAGCACCAAAGCACCATCTTGAAGATTAATCAGATAGATTTGGAATTACGGTTGAGTGAAATTATTGAAAGATAAAAGTCTGATGCTCGGAGGGGCTGATAAAATCGGGTCATTACTGTATTACCATTGCTCTAACCTTGGTTCTAGTTGTCAAAACGCTGAAAAAGATTAATATGTGGTTGCTATGATAATAGCCAACAAGGCTGTTACAGTTACGGTCAGTTTGGTAGCATTTAAGGAAAAATAAAAATAATCGAAAAAATGACGAAATATGGTGAATACAACCCAGTCAACAATACGATTTTCATACAACAACTACAGGCTTGTTAATCGTTTTCATGAAAACCACATATTACTTTTTTTAAGCATTTGAACCTAGAAGCACAGTTAAAACGATATAAGTTAAATTCATAAATTTAAGATAGTAATTCGCCGTAATCTCCAGACAAGAGGTTGTTAATTAACTACGTAGGCAGTTTTTTGGATTCTTGACCGCCTCCCTCCCTCCTCCAACGTTGACAATTGTCTATACATTTTTTTTATAATTTGGTACGTTACGGGATGTAAGATCTACCACCGATTCCTAGTCTTGACTACTTCAAACTAGGGGAACAGGATTTTTCAGTAATCAAAGGAACACTTTTTATGGTATAAATAGCTGATAGTGATAAGACTTGATTTCGCCAACCGAGGATGATCTTGAAACTAGGAAAAAATGAGTTAGTTAGTTTTCATCTATGTGATTCCTAATCTTCTATTCGTAGTTCCATATTTTGAAGTGGTTAAGACTAGGTTTCTGATGCATGGTCATTATCGGTGTCATTGCTAGTTTTTGTTGCTAAGAAATCCAATTTTGACTGACAAAGGGGCGCGACTTTGGAGGGTGTTCCAACACACCAAAGGGTATAAATAGCGGGACCTTTCAATTAGAATCGATTCCTTGCGATGAAGGCAAGAATGACAACTAGAGATGAACTAGCCTTCGGCTAAAAATCTCTAACATAAAGAAGAAAAAAAAAGAATGACAACTGCATGAAAACCGAATACTTCATCATTTCTCAATAGGACATGCACTAAACTAAGGACACGGGATATACTACAATAGATCTAAACACTGGTCGCAGTGGAGTTATGTCCCGAACAGAGCAAAAAATGGGCCGTGGATAATTGACAATCCCCTCCTGAACTGTCTACGTAGTTTATGAACAGCCCCCAAGCTTAAAACCATTGTCACGAAATCTAAACCTTTATAAATCTTTACCATTTGTGTCGATCTGGAGGGTGGCCTATTAGAAATCAAACACTTTTTACAGAATGAAGCACCCTAATTTAGGCCATGCAGCAAAAATGAAAAGATGTCAGTTCAAATCAAAATTAAAAAAAAAAGATATTTTCGAAGCCACGAAAAATGGAATCCTCACGCAAGCAAAAACTATGAGCAAAGAAGAAAATTGTTCTTAGTGTTTTTTTTCATTATTTTTTTTTCCTTTATTTAGCATCGGCTGGTTCGCCATTTTTTTTGTGTTAATTCATTATCGAAAACGCTTCAAAACTCTCAGATTTCTGTTTGAAGTATTCGGTAGTACTGTTTGCAAATACGTTTACTCTGGAAAACTTAAACGGCTGACAAAGTTGCTGTCTCAAGAAACTCTTCAGAAAAATATGCTAACAAAATTTAAGACAACATTTGACTGTATTGAAATGTTTACAGACAACCTGGATGCAGTCGTCATTTGAACAACCAAGTCACACCGCAAAGTTGCTAATTGAAATTTCATCGTTTGGATCAATCTCATTCGTGTCTCACATCGTACATCTGAACTTGAGTTAACGGATAGGAGTTTAACAATAAAGAAGGCGATTGAAGATATAAAAGGTTCTCTAAAATACCCAACAATTGTCCAATTTGTATTACAATGGTGGAGCACTATCAGCCCAGGCATAGGATTGGCTCCTCCAGAGATTGTAGGAAAAAAATAACGGAGCAAAATATTTTTGAATTTTTTTTTAATTATTTCTTTGCTACACGCAAACGCCTAATAAAAATATTGATTTTCTTTAGCAGGAATGCCAGATTTGAAGACATGTCTTCATTATGAAGACATTTTAAATTCTATGAAGTCATATTTTCCCGCAGATATTTTATGAAGATGTTTGAACTGTTTGGCCATATGCGGAAATTCAAGAAGACATCCGAATGCTTTTTGAGTTTTAAGCAGACATGCGAAAGCTTTTTCTATTGAAATGAAGATCTAGAATTCATGTTTTAAGCTCTGTCTTGAACATGTTGATTATGAATTATGTATCCATTTTTTGTTTGTTTTGAAACAATACTCGATCGACCTAAATATCCGTAGGACTTCATTGTAATCTTTAAATATCAGGAGATCATTGACTTTTTGATCAACGTGCCATTCTGAAAGAATATATGAGGGACGACCTTTGAGCCTTTAAACCGATGACGGTTTTCACAAAAACAACTGATCAACCTAATAAATTTTCAAAGTGACTCATTAAAATCATAGAGGTAACTAGTAGGTCCCGAAGAAATGTGCTCAACTTTTTGGCTCAGCACTATCTTTGGTCCCAAGCTAATCGAGGGGTGAATTCCTCGAAACATAGGAAAATCCAATAACCCCTCATTTTATCTGCCAAACTTTCATAGCGAATCAAAACAAACATAGTACTGGAATTTTGGCTATAATGGGATACGTTAATCGTTAATCTCATCTTCTAGGTAAACATGTCAACATCACAGGCATAACAATGAAACTGCAACGTGCAGAATCGTAATCTACCTAACTAATAACCCAAGAATTAAGTAAGAACCATAGGTCCACCGTTGTATAATTGGCAATGCACCCGTGTACTGAATGGGAATTGTGGGTTCGAATCCCACCGGTGCCCTTATATTTTTTCGCAAATTTTCTCACGCACACGTCTCTTACCGATGATATGTGCTTACCTCTCAGTATGTTCAAACTTTCCTATAAACAATTAAATTGACTGCAAAGTCGCTAAACCGTAAATAAATAAAAAAAAAAATTAAGTAAGAACAGTCCTAAAAGGCTCGGTAGCCATCATAACATCAAAAAAGGGTGTTTCAACCACAATGCACAGTCTTCATCAGTGTCAGTGTGAAATCAAATCTAGAGAATATAAATTTCCGGCTAGCTACAGACCTTTAAAATACCTCCTGACATTGAAAACATATCTGAGAAATTTTAACAGTTTCTAATATTCAGAATAATACTTTATCAACCTTACCAATATTTTGGAAGAATATCAAGAGAAACTAATAGATATCTTATTGAAAATCAACAAATA